CCACTGACTGTCCATGGGGCGCCGCAGCAGCTCCTCCACGTGCCTCGCCACGTCCATGGTGTCATCCAGGTCAAAGTCACCCTCGGGGTCCAGCACAGTGTCAGGGCTGTGGGAGGCAGGGGGTGAGGGGGGGGACCGGTTGCGGTGGGACAGGGACGGGGGATGCAATACTTACTTCTGGGCATACATGTTGTAATGGGGCTGGGAGCAGACAGCGGGTGAGGGAGCCTGGTCCATGTAGGTGGCCCCTCCAGGGGCAGAATCACCTGATGCACTGACAAACCTGCGGGGACCGGGGGCTCGTGAGTGCTGGCACGGGACGGGATGGGCTCCCTTGGGGTGAAGTCGCACTCCGGGACTTCCCACTGCCTCCAACCGGCAGCTCCCGCAGCTGGCAGGGTGCCGGCAGGGGACCCAAACCCCACACCCACAAACAGCAACAACCTGCAGGGTCCCCAGCCCCCTGGGTGGCAGCACGACAAGGCAGGGGCATCTGCCTTCCCAGGGAACACACAGCCCTGCCTCAGCCACGGGCCCATGCTCCTCGGCCCTCAGCGCCAGCTCAGCACCAACGTGGCTGTTGGTGGTGCCAGAGCCTGAGAGCAGAGGTGCCCTGGGCTGCCGGCTGCCCCAGCCAGCTTGCCGGGGATGATCCCATGGGACTGCCCAGGGCCTGTGTTCAGGGTCAGACTTACTCTGGCACCACTTGCTTGATCTGTGGCTTCACGTATCCATCCACAGCTTTAGCTAGAGAAAAGATGGCAGCGCTAAGGCCCCGAGCTGCTGGCACGTGCCACAAGCCTGCGGTGGGGCTGGGGGCTCACGCACGGCCAGCTGCAGAGCCCCCACTGGGCTGGATGCAGCCCCGGGGCAGAGGGATGCTGTGAGCCTCAGCTCCACCCCGGTCAGATGCACGAAGGAGAGGGACGCACACAGGGTGAAGGGGCAGCGCTACCTGGCGTGGACTCACAGAGAACCGGCGTGTAGTACTTGGAGAAAACCTCATCCTTGGGCCGGTCAGGGAACACATAGATGAGGTAACTGAGGTCCCCGAGGCGGTCAGCCAGGGAGCGGATGGAGAAGTCCCTGGTGGTGAAAGGCATCAGGTTCCAGAACATCCTCTCGGCTGGAAGACAAAAGTGAGGACCACGGTGATGCCCAGAGCCGGTGGCAGTTCCCGGCCCCACTCCGGCCACGGGCTGTGAGATCACGTCGAACATCAGACGGCATTTCCCATGCTGCATCCCTCCCCCGGCAACATTTAAGGACAAAACGCAGGTTGCCAGAAAACAGGATCAGCCAGGAGGCACAGTGAACTCAAGGCAGGTCTGTCCTCATCTGGGTACGTGGGAGGCAGGTCCCCCCTGGCCACGGGGGGCTCCGCGGGGCTTTGTGGTGTTCCTCGGCCACGTGAGCCTCCGAAGGATGCTCTCACGAAGAACAGTAACGAGCAGACTTGCTGCATGGGGTCAGGCAACCCGTGCAGACCCCTTGCACCAGGAAGCACCACGGAATTGCTGCATTTTATACAGCCACAAGACCCCCTGGTTGGCTCGGACGGTTTAGCCCAGTCCCTCCTCCCTGCCAATGCCAGTGCTCGGGCTGGACATGGCCACAGCTGCAGCGAGCAACAGCAGCACCGCTCCCCACAGGGCAGCCAAGGCATTCCCGCAGCCTCCTGCGCTCCCCCTTTCCCGAGGAAGGCTCCCGTGTGCCCAGCTGCGGCAGTGACAGTGCCGGTGCCCAGCCGAGACAGGAGGTGCCGGAGGCGCAGCACCAGCTGCACAAGCACAAGACGGCCGAGTCCCAGGCCGGGGCCAGGGTCAGCGAGGACAGGGGCTGCCGGCTCCCAACACGCACTCACAGGAGTCGAACTTCCACGCGATGGTGATGCCGCCAATCTCTGAGTCGCTGAACCGCAGCAGGAAGGTCCCGTCAGGCTTGTTGATGAGCAGGTCGTGCGCCTGCTGCTTGTTGACGAAGCCCAGGATGGCCCTAGGCAGAGTGGGGGTGTCAGGGCTGGGCGGGCAGGGGGCCGGGCAGCACGGGGTAGGGCGGCTCTTACCCGTCGTTCCAGTGCGGCTTCAGATGCTTCTTCAGCACCTCCATGACCCCGTCAAACCACTGCCAGAAGGTGTAATTCCTCCCGGGCAGGTTTTCCTGTTGAAATCCCCAGAAAATGAGCACTCCTGGCTCCAGCCTCATAGCTGCTGTTAAACAGCACAAGCGTTTGGTGCAGCAGCGGAGACTTAGAGACCTGGACCGCAGGACAACCTCCAGTGCTGCCAAACCAGGCGCAAGTCAGTCCAGCCAGGCAGCACAGCCCCGGGGGAGCGCCAGCAATGCCTCCCCGAGGATGTAGACCCCATCTGCGGGCCCTACAGCACCCCGTGTCCCTCCAAGTGAGGAAGGCGACACCTCCCGCCCCACTGCAGCTGACAACTGTCTCATTTTTGCACCACTCCAGCAAGAAATGGCTCCTTGGGAGGGACACGCCCCATCCAGCCCCCCCGGCACGAGCACTGGTACCGCAGGTATAGCAAAGCCTGTCCCAGAGCATGGTGGGACCCCGGGGCTCCACGGCTCTCCTGGCACAGAGCCCAGCCCGCTCACCCGATTGAACTGGGACCAGGACACCGTGGTGCTGCTGTAGTCCTCCAGGTGGGAGCTGGTGCTGTTGAAGAGCTTCTGCGCCAGGAACACCAAGTTCTCCTTGGTCAGCCCACGGCTGCTCTGCACCTCTGCCTTGAACTTCATGTTGAGCGCCTCACAGAGTTGCGGCCACTGCACCTTGTCGGGCACGGCGAAGGGCACGCGGCCCTGCGGGGGCACAGAGCAGGGTCAGTACCAAGCTCTGCCTGCCACCTCCTGCCACATCCCCACCAGGAGACTGAGCCCTACTCTCGCAGCCCCCTGGGGCGGATGGGGCCTGTCCTGCCCCGCCATGGTGCTGGCACTCACAGGCTCAGCAAAGGCGTTGTCCCAGAGCACGGTGGCCGTGGCGTTGTTGTCCTGGCTCCCATGCACGATCACCACCACGGGCAGGGACAGCGTCTGCCAGGAGGAAGGAGACCAGGATGGGCTGGGGGGCACTGCGGGATCATTGCCCATGAGCAGCCCTGAGCCACCCCAGCCTGCACGGGCACCACAGCGTCTGCAGGAGGAAGGAGACCAGGATGGGCTGGGGGGCACTGCGGGATCATTGCCCATGAGCAGCCCTGAGCCACCCCAGCCTGCACGGGCACCCCATGGCCCCAGCCCAGCCCCACACCCATGGGTACGGTGCCCATGGCTCGCCCGGGCCCTGCAGAGGTGACGAGGCTGGTGGCTTTACCTTCACCTGGAAGACCAGCTCGTTGCCACCAACACTGAACTGTGACTCAAAGAGGATGGTGAACTTCTCCTCTGTCACGCAGCCCTGAGCCACCCCAGCCTGCACGGGCACCCCATGGCCCCAGCCCAGCCCCACACCCATGGGTACGGTGCCCATGGCTCGCCCGGGCCCTGCAGAGGTGACGAGGCTGGTGGCTTTACCTTCACCTGGAAGACCAGCTCGTTGCCACCAACACTGAACTGTGACTCAAAGAGGATGGTGAACTTCTCCTCTGTCACTGACTCAGCCCCGCGGCGGTCTGAGCGCTTGATCCGCTTCAGGGACTGCAGGGACACGAGGGGTAAGCATGGGGGGACAGAAGGGGACACGGGGGGACACCAGGGTGAACACAGAGGGGATGCAACACAGATGGGGACATGAGGGGTGAACACAGGGGGACACGAGGGGACAGGAGGGTGGGCGTGAGTGTTGGGAGGGGGGAGCCAGCGGCGCTCACCATGTTGCGGAAGTGGGCGCTAAGTGTCCCCGTGGCCTGGTGATACTCCATCACGCAGCAGTTGTTAAGGATCTCCCCACTGCTCTCACTGCCGCAGGAAGGTGCAGGGTCAGGGGGACCAGCAGGACTGGGAGCCCACGCAAGGTGCAGCCCCCCCATGCCCCCAGCTCCAGGCCCTGCTCCCCGCTGCCTCGGCAGCCCCAGCCCCCCGCAGCACACCCCCAGCCCCCCAGGCATTACTTGCGGGTGCTCTCGTTCTTCAGCAGGGCTTTGGCTTGCTGCTCGCTGATGATGGTGGCCTTCACCTGGGGGGGGTTCATGTGCACGTTCAGCTTCCCCCCCACCAGGAGCCGCACGGTGGCTGCGAACTTGGTCTGTGTCTTCAGCACCTGGGGGGGCTGCTTCTCGATGATGAAGGTGCTGAGGGGACACAGGGATCAGGGGCAGGCAGGCAGAGCAGCCCCAACCCAGCCCCCCCACCCTGCCGGATGCCTCAGCCGAGCCGGGCCCCCACCTCTACCTGGTCACCAGGGCAGAGATGATGTCGGTGATGGTGCTGTTCAGCTCCGACAGCATCTCCTCCACCGGACCCGGGATTGGCAGCTGCTGGCACAAGTGCTCAGCCCGACGGATCTGCTGCCGGTTCTGCCAGATGATCTCCGCCAGCTTCTCACACCTGGGGGGAGCAGGGCTCAGCACCATGCCAGGGCTCAGCACCCCACCCCACCCTGCCGGGCATGGCCGGCACCAGCACCCACCAGGTCTGCAGCACATCCAGGGTGCCCTCGGGGGGGCCCCCATTCCCCGCCAGCTGCTGCCGACGCTTCCACTGAATAAGCTCGTCATCCAGGATGGTCGTTTGCTGCTTGCGCAGCAGCTGCAGCGTCTTCTGGTGCTTCTCGGCCAGGTCCTGCGAGGCGGGACGGTGTTATGGAGTGCAGGGACGGCGGCACAGCTGGCATGGGGCCAGGGAAGCAGCACTCACCACACGGTACTGCTGTAGTGTCTGGGCCTCCCGGTGCAGCCAGGCCTCCAGCGATGCCTTCTTCTGCTGCAGCGTCGTCTCCCGCGACAGGCGCTCCTGGGGGCCCAGCTGGGAGAGCTGGGAGAACTGGGCTGGGGGACAGGGCATGGCATTAGGGCTGGCACCACCAGCACCCCGGCCCCATCACCCTCCAGCCCCCCACCCACCTTGGAGGCGCATGTTCTCCTGGTACTGGATGATGAAGTACTCCTGCGTCTGCTGCAGCTTCTTGAGCTCATTCTCAGAGTCCTGCGTGATGAGCCGCAGCTCCTCGAACGTCTGGTTGATCTGCAGGTGCTTCTGGGACATGGCGTCCACCAGGGAGCCAGCTGGTGAGGGGCTCTGCACAGGGCACAGGGAGCGCTCAGCACGGCAAGGGGGACCCTCCCCATTCCCCTGGGTGCTGGGGGCAGCAGGGACCCAGAGCACCTCCTGCCTCAGGGCTGCTCCCATGACCCCCATGCTGGAGACCCCGAGCATCCCCCATCCTGCGGGACCTGTTCCCTTGCCCCCCGCGATGCAGTTGCCCCATGGCCCCCACTCACATTGTTTGCCTCCCGTACCAGCCGCTGCTCGTGGTAGAGGATGTGCCGGATGCAGCGCACTAGCTCCATGGGGCACCGGTCGTATGTATTCTGCAGGGAGAGTGCAGCCTGAGCCAGGCACAGGGCAGGGACAACCCCCGGCCCCTCAGCCCCCGCCCGTGGCCCCTCACTCACCTGCAGCTGCGTGGCATAGTGCCCCAGCTTGATCTTCAGCAGGAAGCCATCTTCGCCCACTTGGTGGTCCGCCTTCTTCTGCAGCTCCTGGATCAGCCCCTCCAGCAGCTGCGTCGCCTTCACGTTCTCCTGGGGGTTGTCGAGGTCAATGGAGTCCCTGCGCGCACGGAGCAGAGTGGTGGCATCGGGGCAGCCCTGGCCCCCCCGGCTTCTTCTGCCCCCCAGAAAAGGGGGGCACCCGCCGGCACCCCAGGGGCAGGTGCTGCCAAGCCCAGCATCACCCACAGGGACAGGGACCCCGCTGACCTACCACGCCTGGCTCTCAATCCACTGCGACAGGTAGTGCCGCACCTCAATGGGAAAGTGCTGCCCGTAGAGCGCCTGCATCTGCCGCAGGGCTTCGCCCTGGAGCTGCTGTGCCTGGATCCACACCGCCATGGCTCACCACCTGCCGGGGAGATGGGCTCGTCAGGTCACTGCAGCTGGGCCGGGTGCTGCACCGTGGGTGGGGGTCCGTCCCTGGCCGCCCCTGCAAGCCCTCTGCAGGAGCCTCCGGGTTCTCTGGTGCTGCCAGAGCCACCTCCAGCTGCCAAAGGAAGGGGTGTGCTAGGGCAGGGGACCCCGGCTCTGAGTCACCCCTTCTTTTCTAGGAAGAGCCCTGGAGGGGGCCGGGGCCATGAATGCGCCTCTGCGCTGCCTCTCCACATGGTAATCATTTCCCCTTGCTGCGCTGCAGGATCGCAGCCATCGCTGGCCACGCAAATGAGGAAACAGGGCCGGGGGGAGGGCTGGCAAAAAATCCAGGGTGACGCAGAACGGAGGCCTCCCCCTGTGCTCGCCCCGGCTCCTGCCCACACCCTGGCAGCGCCAGCAGGCAGACAGGCAGGAGCAGCCACGGCCCCAAGGGCCCACGTGGCACTGCAGCCCCCGGTGGGTCCCTGGCCCCGCGGCCACCGCGTGCCCCATGCACCAGTGCCACGGAGAAGACGCCGGCCAGAGTGCGGACCTTCTCCAAGCAAGTTTTGGGGTGGCTCTGGCTCCGTGCAGGAGCGCTGCCAGATTCCACCTGCCACGCAGCTCCAGCGCCCCGGCTCACAGGGGGCAGCTGCGGCAGGCAGGGAGAAAGGACGGCCAGGGACAGCACCTATAAGAAGCCAGAGCGTCCCCTGCCGCAGTTATATCTGCAGCTTGGTGGGGCCTGGAAAAAAAACTGGCAGTCGAGTCTTTGAGGGTGACGCGATGGTGAGTGATGAGGGAGGGCCTGGGGGGCTTACAGCCCCTCTAAGCCAAGGATGCAGCAGTAAATAGCATTTACACACACTCACACCCAAACCACCTGGGATTTAGTATTGTGTGGAGGTGCTGGGCAGGGGCGTGAGGCCTCAGGCTGTGTCCCAGGGCTGGGTGGCCGGGACGGGATCCGGTTACTGCACCCATCAGTGACAAGCAGAGGGAGCTGGGGACCATGCCAGTGGGGGCTGCGCCTCCCTCCCTCCCTCCCTCCCTCCCCGAAGCGCTTTGTTCAGCCTCAGAAAAACCCGGTGGCCTGAGGGGCTCTAAAAGCAGCCGGTGCCGTCCCACGGGCAGGGGCGCACACGGGGGGAGCACACCGGGGGGCAACGGCAACAGCAGGTCCAAGTGGAGCAGCTGGAGCCCGAGCCCTGTGCACCCGCCCCCTGCACAGGAAGAGGAACAATAACTGAGAGTTGGCTAAAAATGAATTTTTCCCCTATAAAAAGGGAGGAACATTTCCACATTCACAGAAATCACCAAGTTGGAAACCCTGCTGGCAAGGAGGGACTTGGAGAGGCATAAAAACGCAGGCGAGGAGGGCAAGGGAAGGTGGGATGGCCGACAGCAGGATGCATGCTGGCAGTTAGAAATTGCGGACGCTTGGTAAGCGGTTCTCACCGATGCCCCAGCAGAGCAGAGGAGAGTGGCCACGGCCGCGCCGGTGCCAGTGCGCCACAAACGCCCGAAGTTCCCAGGGCAGCGGGGACGTCCACACGGACACAGAACAAACAAATGCTGCCCTGCCTACCGACAAAATGGTGATCTCTTCCCATCTCACGGTGACAAAACACTTCCTATTCCACTCCAGCGTGTTGTTAAGCAACAAGTCTCAGGCTGCTGCTGCAGTGAGCCAGCAGACACTGCGCTCGACCGACACCAGCCTGGGAGCAGGAACGCAAGCATCGCTGCCAGGGCACCCGGTAGAAGGCGAGCCAGCATCACGTCAGCCTTTACAATGGGACTGTGCAGCGGCTGATGGCGGCATGGCTCACCTGCCGCGTGCCCCAACCAAAGGCAGGGTCATCCCCGGGGCCACGCCACCCCGGCGGATAAGCACACCCCAAACAGACACTCATGCCAGGCTTGGACACGACCTCCATGGGCATCACCAATGCAACAGCGGGCGTTTCTCTAAGTACCTCGGTTTTGTCTCCCGTGTCTCACCCGTGGACTGACAAACCAAACCTCCCCGAGAACCGCAGGGTGCCCCAAGCGCCCTGGCACAAGTCACCAGTGCCGCCTGCCACGAGCAAATGAGGCTTTCCAGCCACGAGACCCAGCAAGGCTGGGGCAACAGCTCCGCTTCAGCAAGAAGTACAGCAGCACGGTCCCACCATGCAGCCGGAGCCACCGGCCTTTCCAGGCAGCCCCGCACTCCCGCGCCCGGCCAGCTGCTGGCAGCCAGTGCCCTGGCTTGGTCCATGCCCAGCACCACGCTCCTCAGTGGCACCGCCAGCTGCCCTGGGCGAACGCTCACAGGGGCCTCCTTGGAGCCTTGGGACGGTTTCGCCCCCACGCCCAGGGACCGGCTCGCTCCTCATGCTCCCCCTTGCCGATGCATCGCCCCGGCCCTGCAGCCACCTGGCTCAGGAAACCTCTCCAGGGTCAGATGGCCGAGGCCCGCTCCAGCCCAATGGCGTTTACCCACCCCCAGTGCCATCCCCAGCCCACCAGTCACGGCACTTGCTGCAGCTCCCACACCCTGGCAGGGACAGGCAGCACTGCTGCAGTGTCACATGTTGCCACGGGTCAGCCATGCTGCAGCCACCGGCCACACATGCACTCAAACAACTGCAAGAGACAGATAATTGCAGTGGTTTAAGCTACTTTGCATTTACTTGCTGGCAACGAGCTATAACCCACCCACCACCGCAGTTCGGTTAACCAGCAGCAACTCAACAAGCCACAGCAACGTGCTCACCGGTGACTTATCGCCTGCGAAGCAGCGCATGCGGCAGCCTCCCAGAGGTAGGACAAGTGTCATGGAGAGGGACCCCAGCCCTGCGGGGACAGTGTGGGCAGGGAAGACGCAGAAGGAGGGGAGACACCACAGTCCTTGCTTCTGCATCTGACAGCCCCGCTCCCTGCTGCCGATGGGGTGGCACTGCCAAACCAGCCGCAAAATGGGCAAAACCCACCCGAAAGGGGCTTTCAGAGGGCCAGAGGCAGCGGCAGAGGAGAGGATGGGCAGGGGGAGGCTGGCAGCACCACTGGTGCCAGGGCCAGGCCACAGCCGCAGCGGCAGCCCTGGGGGCAGGAGCGGTGGCACCTCCCGGCCGTGGCAGCAGGCTGGTGCCAGCGCCGGGTCACAAGCTGCAGGAAAGCCAGAGCACGTCCGCGGGCAGACAAAAGGAGGGAAATGCCTCATGGGGCGAGGCTGGCAGCGGTGCCTTCCCATGTGCCACGGGCGCAGCAAAGCCCAAACACAGGCAGCGCCTGCCCAGGGGCCGGCGCAGCACACACCGCCGCCGATGCTCACAGGATGCTCACTGCACACAGCCGCGGGATGCTCACAGCGCAGAGCCACCCTGGGGACCTCCCCGCAGGCAGGACACCTCTGCCCCGGTGCCGGCACGGCCCCTGACTGCAGCCCCTTGCCCAGTCCTGTGCCCTGCTGGGCCGGGCAGGGACTGAAAGCCGGGCAAGGCCCCGGGAGGGCCATGGCAAAGGGCTCTGGCCGTAACCCCCCTGCTCCCGCATGCCTGCCCTGCACAGCCCTTCCGCCACGGTGGCTCCCGCACTGCCCTTTGCCCGGTGCTCTCCTGGCCCGGGGGTCTCCGGAGAGGCGTCCTCCCCTGGGCAGGGACGCGGCGCTTCCCTCTGGCGCTGCGCTCCGGCAGGCAGCAGCCCTGCGCCCGCTGCGGCTGCCTCCTCCCGCCGCAGTAAACACACGGACACGTGGTTTCTCGGCACCTCCGGGAGCCCACAATCGCTTCCAGGTCAGAGCCAGCCTCGCTCGCGGCCGCAGGGCCGGAGCCTGCACGCCTCACAGTCGGTGCTGCCAGGGGGCTCCAGTCCTGCCCCAGCCAGCACTGCTCCTGCCCCCCAGCAGCCCCGATGGGAGAGGATCCTGCGTCCCCCAAGAAGGGCAGCGCCAAGCAGGTTCCCTCTGGGGCAGGATCCGGCCCCCAGCCAAGCCCCGGGAATGGCGGGGAGGGGGCCGCGCGCACGACGGCGGCGTCGCCGTCACCCCAGGGGACCCGCCGGAGCCCCTGGGCAGCCCAACAGCCCCACTCAGCTGGACCCCTGCCGAGGGCTCCCCCAGCTCGGCCCCCCTCGCCCTTGCACGTGGGCCTGCCTGCTGCAGGCAGCAAGCACCGCTGCACACCACGTTCTGCCCCGCAGCTGAGGGACACAGAGGGCTCTGCACACACCCGAGGGGCCCCGCAGCCCCAGGGCCATCCCAGCTTGGGGCTCCCCCATGCATGGGCTTGGCGAGGCTGGCAGAGCCCCGGGGCTCAGCACGGTTCCCGGCTCCTCCAGGGCACAGGAACTGCAGCCCCGGCTCGGCACGGGGTGCCCCATCCCGCAGCCGCACTCACCCAGGGTCAGGTACCACTGCCCCACGCACCACTCCGGCGTCCTGACCCCAGGGCAGTCCAGCCCCGGCTCCAGGCACACGCTGCCGGCACAGCGGGGCTCCCGGGGCGGCCGTTTCACAGGCTGTGTGCTACAGGAAGGAGCAGAGAGCAGCTATTTCCTTCCAAAATGTCATCTGCCTGCGCAGGGCAGCCAGCCTCAGGTTGCCAGCAGCTTCCTCCGTCACTGCTGTGTGCGTGGTGCCCACCGAGGGAGTGGGGCCAGCACACCCTCTGTGCTCAGCCCCACACTTCTCCCCAGAGCCGGAGCCGGGCACAGCCTCTGCCCCCAGCGGGTCGGTGGGGCTGAGCCCCCCTGAGCCCCCACAGGTGGTCAGCAGCCGGGGATGGGACCCCAGGGACCGATGCAGGAACTCAGCATGGGGGAAGACGGGACGGACCCACCTGCACCCCCCGGCTCCGCTCACACACACACACACACAGAGCACCGGGGCAGAGCCTGCACCAGGAACATCGGGGTGCTGGTGAGCAGCCCCTGGCCACCCTGGCCCCACTTGGAGCTGCCAGCCGGGGCTGGCGGGCACCAGAGCACAGTGGAGCCGGCGCGGAGGGCTGC